GGATGGTTGTGCACCCATAACAAATGCGGACAGGGAAGAGCAAAGATAGCCTCATTAGGGATGTAAAAGCTCGGCCGTTAAAAGCTTAAATAAGCTCTATACAGCAGAGCCTGCAGCAAAGCCTCCCTGGGAGTGGAACCGGAAGGGGCTGCTGCTGGCCCCGCTCCTAGGGAGGAGGCTTTGCTGAGGGCTTTGCAACTGGCTCCCCGGGTGCGGGGCCAGCAGCCCCACCAGCCTCGCTCCCAGGAAGTCAATGTTTAACCTGAGGGTGGGCCAGCCAGACCCACCATGGCCAGAGGCTACTCTGGAGGAGCTGCTCCAGCTCATACCAGTTAACTGGAACCAGTAAGCCTCACCCATCATGGGTCAGGCTTACTAGTTAACCTTTTATATCTCTAGTCCTCATCGGAGACATAGGTCTCTGATCACCCTGCCGTGCAAGGAGACTCCACTGGCAAAGTCGTTGGAATTGGAGCTTCCCTGATCACCATGGTGCTAAGTTCCCTTCACAGCCATGTCACTACTGTTGCTCTATGCTCTAGAAGCAGCTGGGACCACCAGGAGCTCTTTATCCTGAGCCTTCACCAGTTGAGCTGATGTTGGAATTGTCACATATGTAACTTTTACGTGCCTCCTCCTGCTTTCGAGGGGATTTACTTGGGCCTGAGTCCTTAGCAGCCGTGTGCACTGGCTCTCCCAACTTTGATAGAATCCCTCCAAATACCTCTCCCTTTAGGGCATATTTAGATGATATGACTTGTCCTTACATCTGGGAGAGTCCCTTTGTTTTCATATGAAGCCTTCCCCTTAGGCTTAGTCTACGTTCTCAGGCTTGTGTTTGGAGGGACACTGCCTGCCTGCTGAAACTGATTCATGGGAATGGGTCTCCTGCCTGGATCTAATTTGGGCTTCACTGCAGCAATGTTTTCTGAGACTCAGTTCTCAATCACCACAAGTTCTTTAGGCAACAAATCCTGCACTGAGCAGAAATATGCACCTTATCCAGGCAACAGAGGGCAGCATAGATTTTTGCCACTCATTGAAAAGGAGCAAGGGCAAGAAACAATATTTGAACCTGGGCATAACCTCAGGCTCCTCAGGGAGGAAAA